TCCTCCCCCCTCCTCCGCCTGCCCTTTCTCATCTGCCCTCCTCCTCTCCCTCTCCCTCTCCTCCTCCAACACGCGCCCCCTGCTCCGCTCTCCTCCATCCTTCCCCACCCTCCTTCATGTCCTCCAGCCTTCCCGTCTGCTTCCTCCAGCTTCACATCCTCTTTCTCCTGGTTCTCCTTCGGCACCGTCTCACCCGCCACCTCCGTCCATCTCGTCCCCCTCCTGGGCCGCCCTCCCCATCCTCTCTCATCACTCCTTGATCCTCCTCCTCCCACGTTCGCCATCCTCCTTCTCTCCTCCTCCACGTCCATCCACCATTTCTCTCCTACCCCTGGATCTTCCTCCTCCATGCTGCCCAGTCATCCTCCTCCTCCTCGTTTCAAAGGGACTCCAACCTCTTTCATACTCCTCCTGTCCCTACTGCCCTGCTCCACCCTCTCCTCCTCCACCTCCTCCACTATCCACCTCATCCTCCTCCTTTTGGTCCTCCCCACGCTCTCTCATCACTCCTCAGTCCTCCTCCTCCTCCTTCCATCTCCCCCATCCTCCTTCTCCTCCTGCCCTTCCAGCTACGTCCTCCTTCCTCCTCCTGCGTCTTCCTTCTCCATCCTCTTCCATCCTCCTGGTGCTACTCAATCATCCCCATCCACCCACTGCATCCACCCCCTCCTCACTCATCACTCCTCTCTCCTCCTGCTCCTCCTCCTCGACTCCCCTCGTACATCCACCCCCTAACCCTCCTCCTCCTCCTCCTCCATGTATTCCTCCATGTTGGTCAACCGTCCTCCTCCTCCAGCTCCATCCTCCTCCACCTTACTCCCCCTTCCACCCCCCTCCCCTACTTACCTCCTCCTCCTCTTCCTCCTCCTCCTCCATCCTCCCTCTCCTCCATCCTGCAGATCATCCATCCTCCCCCGCTGTCCTCTGCATCCTCCTCCTCTACCTCCTCCGCGACTGCCCTGTTCCTCCTCCTCCTCCTCCTCCTCCTCCTCCTCCTCCCCTCTTCCTCACCTATTCTCCTCCACCCTTTCCTTCGGCTCCTCCATCTGCATCATCCCTGCTCTCTTCTTCCCTCCCCCTCCTCCTCCGGCATCCCTCTCCTGCTCACCCATCTACCCCAGAATCTCCTCCTGTTCTCCTCCTCCACCACCCTCCTCCTCTTTTCTCCTCTATCCTCCTCCCTCCTCCTCTCTCTCCCTCCTCCTCATCCTACCCCTCCTCCACCTGCAATCTCCTCCTCCTCCTCCATCGTTCCCCATCCGCCCCTCCCTCATCTACTCACCTCCCTCTTCCTCTCCTCCTCCTCCTCTCCCTCCTCCACCTCGGGCCCAGTTGTCCAACCTCTGACCTCAGCCTCCTCCCACGGGCAGGGGCAATGCGAGCAGCACCCTCACCCCATGGACCGGGGACGGCTGTCTGAGCCCGGCTCTCCATCGGGGCTCGGGGCTCGGTGTCACCTCGCCTACAGCCGAGGGAGTCCCGTGGCACCACCCCTGGCGGCCACTGTCCCCAAAGTCACGCTCACCTGACTGACCAGTCGCGGGCGCGAGCTTCGCCTCCTCCACGAACTCGACACTCGCGTCGAGGTGGGCAGTGCGAGACGGCAGAACCGCTCACAGAGGGCACGAGTGCCTCCAACTGCTAGGGACAAGAGCAGACAAGGTGCTGGGCAGCGGGCAGAACTTGGGGGTGCTCCCATTCCCCCCAAAATGGTGCCACCAGGTTGGCGTCCGTGTCAATGAAGCCGGGCTTGACCTCTTACTTAACCCCCGAGGTTCAAGCGCCCTTGGGAGACGATGCCATCATGCAAGGACAGGAGAAACCCTGGTGAGTGCTGGCCCCGGGTGTACATGCCCGCTGTTCCCAGCGCGCCAAGCCCCGTCCCCAGAGCCCTGACAGTCCTTTCCCCGTCTCTCCCCCTTCTTGGGATCCGTGCGTGGAATAGACTTATATTGACGTCTCAAACCTGCTATCCTGGATTAACAATCCGTACAGCCCGTTACCTCATCTGCCTCAGCCAACTTCCCTGACGTGCCCAGTCTGACTACCAGACCTGGGGCTCACAGGTGTCCCGCCTCCACTGGGGTGCCGTCCTGGTCCCTCACTGCCCGCTCTGGGCCTGCCTGGGGTCCCTGCTCTTCCTCTACGCTCCGCCTCCATCCTCCTTCATCCTCCTCCACCTCCACTTTTTCCTCTGTTCTCCTCATCTCTCTCTCCCTCTCCTCCTCCACCATGCTCATCCTGCTCCATTCTCTCCCATCCCCCTCCTCCTCCTTCTTCCTCCTTCTCCTTAATCTCCTCCTCCTCCCACCTCCTCCTCCTCCTACCCATCCACTTCCTCCTGGATCTTCCTCCTCCATCCTTCCCCATCCTCCTCCTAAATCTATTCCAACCCTTTCCATCCTCCTCCTTCTCCTTCTCCACCATCCCCTCCTCCAGCTGCATACGCCTCCACCACACTCCTTGTCCTCCTACCCTTCCTGTCTCATCACTCAGCCATCCTCCTCCTGCTTCCACCTCCTCCATCTTCCTCCTCCAGCTGCATACGCCTCCACCACACTCCCCTTTCGCTCCTCCTCCATCCATCTGATTCTTCACCTCCTCCATTTTCCCTCTCCTCCATCCTCCCCATCTTGCATCTTCCTCCACTGTCCTCTGCATCCTACTCATCCACCTCCACCTCTAGCGCCATGTTCCTCCTGCCCCTCCCTCCCTTCCTCATCTATTCTCCTCCACTCTCTTTCTCCTTCTCCATCTTCTTCCTTCCCTTCCTTCTGCATCCCCCTCCTACTAATCCTTCTCCCCCATGCTCGCCCCCGTCCTCCTCCTCCACTATCCTCCTCCTCTGTTCTCTTCTATCCTCCTCCTTCCTCTTTGTCCTTCTCTATCTCCCTCCTCAACCTCTTACCCCCTCCTCATTCCAAAACCTACTCTTCCTCATCCATCCTCCCCACTTGCCACCTCCTCCTGCCTCTTCCTCCTCCTTCACCTCTGGGCATGTTTTCCGAGCACTAAATTCAGCCTCCACCCGTGGGCACCAGCACCATTGGCAGCCCCCACCCCATGGAGCTTGTGGGGGGCTGCCCCAGCTCAGCTTGCAATCAGGGCTCAGGGCTCGGTGTCACCTTGGCCACAGACAAGGGAAGCCAGTGCCCCCTGCACCACTGGTAGCCACTGTTCACAAAGTGGCCTGAAGGGAGGAGTGGACAGGCCTTGCTCACCTCTCCGAGCCGCGCCTCCTGTAGGAACACAACACTCACATGGAATTGGGCAGTGTGAGATGGCAGATTTGCTCACAGAGGGCACAACTGCCTTCAGCTGCTATGGACCAGAGCAGAGAATGCCGGGCAGCGAGCGGAACTTCAGAGCATTGCCATTCCACCCAACAATGGGGCTTCTGGGTCAATGTGCAGGTCAGTGGAGCCAGGCCTGACTTAGCCTTTAATCCCTGATGGCTAAGGGCCTCTGGTAGAGGGTCCTGTCACCAAGCAGGGACAGGATAGGTGGGGCAGGTGCTAGCGTGTGAGCAGTGGACCTGGGTGCACATGCCCGCTGTCTGGCTGGACAATCCCTGTCCCCAGAGCCCTCAGTGTACTTCCCTCCTCCTCTCCCTCTGCTTGGGAGCCGTGGGTGGAGAAGACCTATATTGTCGTTTCAAACCTCTTACCTTGAATTAAAAACTGGTACAGCAGGTTCCCATACACCCCTCACTCAGCTTCCCTGTGCTTCTCAGTCTGACGACCAGACCCGGGGCTCATAGGGGTACAACCTCCACTAGGATCCATCCTGGCCCCTCACTGCCTGCCCTGGGACCTCTGATCTTCCTCTATCCTCGTCCTCCATCATTCTTCCTCCTACTCCTCCATCCTTCTCCTCCTCCCTCTTCCTCCTCCTCCTTAATCTCCTCCTCCTCCCACCTCACCATCCTCCTCCCTCCTGCCCAGCCACCTCTTTCTTACTCCTTCTGGATCTCTCTCCTCCATCCTTCTCTATCTTCCTTCTCCCTCTCCTCCTCCTAAATCTACTCCAACCTCTTCCACCCTCCTCCAGTTCCATCCTCCTTCTCCTCTTCATTCTCCTGCTCCAAAATCTCCTCCTCTGCCTCTATCCGTATTATTCTCCTTTTTCTCTATCCTCACCATGTCTGTCATCACTCCTCCATCCTGCTTCTCCTCTTTCCCCTCCATCTGCATCCTTCTTCCTCCTTCTACATCTTCCTCCTCCTCCTTCTTCCATCCTCCTCCTGCTCCTCAGTCCTCCTCCTGCATCCATCTCATCCTCCCTCTCCTTGCTCATCAGTCCTCCCTCCTCCTCTTGCATTCTCCTCCTATGTCCACATCCTAACCCTCCTCCTCCTCCATCCTCCTCCTCCTTCTCCATCCTCCTCCATCATACTCCCCCTTGGATCCTCCTCCATTCACGTCATCCATCCTCGTCCTCCTCAATCCGCCCTCTTCTCTATCGTCCCAATCCTCCATCCTCCCCCGCTGTTCTCCGCCTCCTCATCCTCTACCTTCTCCTTTACTGTCCTTTTCCTCTTTCCCACTTCCTTATCTATTCTCCTCCACCTCTTCATTCTCCTCCTCCATTTTCCTCCTCCCCATCTCATCTTTCTTCCCCCTCTTCCTCCTGAGTCCCCCTCCTGCCCATCCTTCTCCCCCATACTCTCCTCCTGTCCTCCTCCTCCACTATCCTCCCCATCTATTCTCCTCTATCCTCCTCCTCTTCCTCCTCTGTCGTAATCTATGACCCTCCTCCTCTTCTTATCCCCTGCACCTCCTCAATCTCCCACTCCTCATCCATCCTTCCCCTTCTGCCCCCTCCTTGTCTATTCTCCTCCATCCTCCTCTTCTTCCTCCTTCTCCTCTCCCTCCTCCAGCTCTGGACAAGTTGTCTAGGCTCTGACCTCAGCCTCCCCCATGGACATAGGAACCATAGGCAGCACCCTCACCCCACGGAGCCAGGGGAGGGTTGCCTGAGCCCAGCTTGCCCTTGAGACTCATGGGTTGGTGTAACTTTGGCCACAGCCAAGGGAGGCCAGCATCACCCACCCCGTGGCCACTGTCCTCAAAATGGCCTGAAGTGGGGAGGGAACATGTCATGCTCACCTGACTGACCAGTTGCGGTGTGAGTTGTGCCTCCTGCACTCACATCGAGGTGGGCAGTGTGAGACGGCAGAGCCGCTCACAAAGGAGACAAGTGCCTCCAACTGCTATGGACAAGAGCAGTCAGGGTGCCGGGCAGTGGGCGGAATTTCGGGGTGCTGCCATTCCACCAGGCCATGGGGTGACAGGTGCAGCCTGAAGGGCTTCCCAGCTTCATCCGCATGTCTCTCAGCAGCGAGGTGATAGGATGCCTCGTCATCAGGAGCCGCTGTCCTCCCTCAGGTGTCAGCTTCCACCTCATGTCCCTTTGCTGTTTGGTCTTTTAAAGAGCGGGTTTGCGGAAGCACCCTCCACTCAGGAAATCGGAAGGGCAGACATTTCCCTGTTCCGTGCTCTTCTCTGACTCCGATTACACATTTCCCACAGAGACACGTGACTCTGTGGGGTGCATGTGTCACTTGTTGTAAGTGGCTCCCGGGACGCGTGTTCCCTTGGAAAGGCTGTTCTGGGTCACGGCAGCATCACACTGAGTCATCTCTGTGTTTTCATTGCTGTCAGGCTCGTCCCTCTGGTGACAGCTCCTCAAGTTTTCCTGGACTTTCTTGTTCAGTGATTTCTCCATGTGAACTTAAAATCAGCTCATCTAGGTCCCCAAATCCCCGAATCATGTTTTCCTGGGCTCATCTGTACTTTGACATAAGGAGAAGCACATCTTCTCGGGGGCCTCCTGTCCAGCGAAGGGACAGCTGTCCTCTCACTCCCTCCTGGTACTGGATGCCGACGGTGCTGGACTCAAGCGATTCCTGCTGGGACAGGGAAGGGGGTGGCTGGCTGGCACACGGACTCTCACCTGGCAGGGAGTGGTGGGTGAGGGGTCTCTGTACATCTGTGACACAAAGAACCTCATAAGAGTAACACCAATGCGAACAACAACCCTCACAGGCACCACGCCAGCTCTGAGTGCTGTTGGCCTGTTGATGCCAATGTCACCCTGCACGGCGGTCGCCCTCCAGCTCTGGCTCCCACAGAGGCAATGAGAACCAGCACCCTCCCACCTCACAGAGAGGCTGAGCCGCTCTCCAGTGTGTGTGCGTGCATGTGTGTCCTGCTCAAGTGTGTACACTCATGTGTGCATGTGTGAGCACATGCATGCTGTGTGCGCAAATGTGCACGTATGAATGCATGATCATGTGTGCATATATGAAGATGTGCATGCTGTGTGCATATAAACGTTCATGTGTGAATATACACATGTGCACATGTGTGAGCAAGTATACGCTGTGTGGGTGTGAATGCGCGAATGTGTGCGCATGTGTGTGTGTGTGAGCAGGTGTATGCTGTGTGCGTGTGAATGTGTGCACATGTGTGTGAGCAGGTATATGCTGTGTGTGTTTGAATGTGTACCTGTGAAAGCGTACACATGTGTGCGTGTGTGAGCAGGTGTGTGCTGTGCACATGTGAATGTGCATGTGCCTGTGTGTCCAGCTCCTCCTCTGCACTTGGCTGACCCCCCGTGAGCACACACTCCAGATGTGCTGGGGGTGCAGGCAGAGGTGTGGTGTGCACAGGCCCCATCCCGAAGCTCGCCCACTGGCCAGGTGTGACGCGGGCAGTGTGCAGGGTGCCAGGTTTGCCTGGCAGGGCAGGAACCAACACACCGCCCCGTCATTCACTTCTTGCCCAACCCTCCTTATGAGTGGGGCTTTGAGGTTCCAAGGATTAACACTGTCCGAGGCCATATGATGCGCAGTGCCAGAGTGGGGCGTGAGCCAGGTGGCATGGGTGGACAGCTGGGGCCAGGGCCCCACTCATCAGGACCCGGCGGTCAAGGAGGTGGTAGGAGGACAGGGTGAGAACTCACCACTTGGTCTTGAGCCTCTGCCCCTCAGGGTGTCAGGTGGGGCCCTCCAGATCTGCCATCTCCCTCTGCAGTCGTGCAGCCACTGGAAATGGAACAGAGGAGCAGCAGGATGACCTCGTGGTTGCGGTCAGTCCTGCAAGCCCATGGCCTTTCCTCTACGTGGCCCTGATCCACAGGGACTGACTGGACATCAATAGCCCCAGGTCCTTACCAGTCTGAGCCCAGGCACATGGCCCCTCAGGGTTGAGGGGTGGCCCTGCTCGGGCTTAGCATCACCCCAGCACTGGATACCCCTTGGCTGCCACCCTCCTGCGTCCTGCTCTCGCCCTTTAACCTTCAGCCTGGCCCTGGCACAGTGGCCACCATGGCCCAGAGACCCCCCCAGCCAGGTGTCCATCATGTCTCTCTCCTGCTCAGGAGGGACATCAGCTTCCCCATCCCGACGAGACCCTCCAATGGTGGGGAAGCCCCACTCTGTCCCTCCCATGGGAGGAGGGTGATCCCCGCCCACCTGTGGTCTCGGCCAGGCCCTCCTGGCCACCCCCTAAAACTGAAACCCCCCCACGTCCCCTGCTTCAGTTTTCTCTTGAGCACTTGACACCATGCAGTGCCCATTTATTGTGCTGACGTCCACTGTTTCCTGAAGTTACCATGGGTGGTGGCGTCTCTTCTAGTTCACGCCCTGGACGGCTCCTGGATACACAGCAGAAGCCCCTGAATAAAACCAAGTTAGAAACGTCTGACTCTCAAGCATTCTGGTGCCAGCACTTGGGTGATGAAGACCCTGATGATGAAGACCCTGAGGTCTCAGGCACAGGCTGCCTGCCCAAGGCGCCTCACCCACCTAGGCCTCCAGCTCGGACCCCAAGGTTCTGCGAGCCCCTCTAGTGCTGGAGACGCTGGGGAGCCCATCCCATCAGGGGAGGGCGAGGTAGTGTCCAGGACAACCCCCATGTACTCCCTGAGTCAAGCCAGCCACCAAGGCTCCGGGACAGTGGCTCCGACATGAGATCTGCGCTCACCTCTCCCTACCACTCTCCCCTGCCCACCTGGACTCACGGTGAGAAGGCTGCACAGTGTTGTGCAACCTGCAGACGGCACAAAGCCGCAGGCTGCCACTGAGCTGCGATGAGGCTGGGCAGAGGGGCGCAGAGACAGCACCTGTGACCCACCATCCACACTTTCAAGCTAATGGGCAGATGGAGCTGGCCCATCCACCGACCCCCACCTCATGGCTCATGACGTGTCATCTTGTGACTTTGCTTCTGCCTGACAATAGGGAACAGTCACTGGACCGGCCTCTCCCTGGGACCCTCGTCGGCTGTTGGAGGGGCTCCTCCTGGGCCCCAGGGTGGGGCATCTGACCTTCAGTCCAGAAATGAAGGTGGAGGCTGTAGGGCAGGGGGCTTCCCCAGCCTCAGGCAGGAGGCGCCCCGGCCCTGTAGCCTCCAGGCTCCAGCCACGGCCTAGGTTCTGCTGAGAAGCTGCCTTCCTGGGCTGACCTCTGGTCCTCAAGTTCCACAGGAGGCATCCCCCAGTTCTACACAGCAGGACAGCCTGAGGGGACAAATGACCTCAAAGAGAAGGGCTGGGACCTCCCAAGGGGTGGCACTGAGCAGAGAAGAGGAGGGGCCTGTGTTACAGCCACGCTCGTGGGAGGTGCAAGGTGTCATTTGAAAAATGCTCAACAGAAACATCTCAAAAACCATAAAACGTCAACTTTGACCCAGCAATCTGATGTCCAGGACGCCGCTGAGGAGATTGTCCAAAATAGGGCAAAAGCCACGTGTAAGCAGCTGTGTTACAATCCTGACGTCCAACCTCAGCATCATATCGAGGATGCAGGTGCACTTCAGGGCGACCACACACTAATGCGAGTGGACATCCCACTTTCAGACCAGGACGCTGGGAAACATGAGACAATGCTACTCCATGTGAAAGAAGATGGAAGAGAGGAGGAACTCGGGCATGGATAAGAAAGGTGAGGCCATCCCTGAGTCTTCTTCCAGGGATCTCACAGGTTCCTGTGTCACGTTTAAGTCCTTGGTGAGTCTGTGCTGGTTTGTGGGGTGGATGGTGTGAGAGAAGAGTCCGTTTTCATTCTCCTGCATGCACATGTCCAGTTTTCCAGCACCATTGTTAAGAGACCGGCCTTTCCCTGTTGACTAATCTCGGCTCCCATGTTGAAGATCAGTTGACCGCATACGTATGGTGTCCTTCTGGGCTCTCGATTCTGTTCCGTTGGCCTGTGTGTCTGTCTCTATGCCAGCGCCACACTGTTTTCATTACTGTAGCTTTAGGATAGTTTGAACCAGGCAGCTGATGCCTCCAGCTGTGTTCTTCCTTCAAGATTGCTTTGGCTGTTCCGGGTCCTTGGTGACTCCACGTGAATTTAAGGATTGTTTTATCTACTTCTGTAAACTTCCACTGTGATTTTTTTTTTTTTGAGGAATATTAGCCCTGAGCTAAATCTGCTGCCAATCCTCGTCTTTTTGCCAGGGAAGACTGGCCCTGAGCTAACATCACTGCCCATCTCCCTCTACTTTATTTGTGGGACGCCCACCACAGCATGGCTTGCCAAGTGGTGCCGCACCAGGGATTGGAATGGGCGAACCCTGGGTCGTCGAAGTGGAACATGCGAACTTAACTGCTGTGCCACCCAGCCAGCCCCTACCATTCTGATTTTGGTAGGGATGGCATTGAATCTGTAGACTGCTTTGGGTATCATGGACATTTTAACAATAGTCACTCTTACAATCCATGAGCGCAGGATGTCTTTCCATGTATTTGTGTCTTTATCAATTTCTTTGAGCAATGTCTTATCATTTTCAGCATACAAGGCTTTCATTCCCTTGGTTAATTTCATTCCTAAGTATTTTATTCTTTTTGATGCTATTGTAAATGGCATTATTTTCTTAAGCTCCTTTTTGGATAGTTCACTGTGGATGTGCAGAAAGGCAACAGATTTTTATACATTGATTTTGTATCCTGCTCTTTTACTGAATTTGTTTATTAGATCTAACAGTTTTTTTGTGGAGTCTTTAGGGTTTTCTACTTAAAAGACCACGTCATCTGCAAACACAGATAACCTTCCTTCTTCCTTTCCAATTTGGATGCCTTTTATTTCTGTTTCTTGCCTGATTGCTCTGGCTGAGGATTCCAGCACTGAAGAGAAGTGGAGAGAGTGGGCATCCTCGCCTTTACGACATCAGTTTTGGCAATGATTTTTGCACTTGACACCAAAAGCCAAGGCAACAAAAGCAAAAACAGACAACTTGGTCTACATCAAACTACAAAGCTTCTGCACACAAAGGAAACCATCACCAGAGTGAAAAGGCAACCTACGGAAAGAGAGAAAATATTTGCAAACGATAGAACTGATAAGGGGGTGATATGCAAAATATATGAGGAACTCCTACAACGCAATAGCAAAAACCTAATTTAAAAATGGACCAAGGACCTGCATAGACATTTCTCAGAAGAAACATACAGATGGCCAACGGGTACATGAAAAGATGCTCAATATATCATCAGGGAAATGCAAGTCAAAGTCACACTGAGATGCCACCTCACACCCATCAGAATGGCCGTGATCAAGAACAGAAAATAACAGGTGCCTGCAAGGACGTGGAGAAAACGGAACCCGTGTGTACTGTCGGTGGGAATGTAAGGTGGTGCAGCCACTATGAAAAAGAGTATGGAGGTCCCTCAAAAGATTAAAAATAGAATTACCGGGGCCGGCTCCATGGCCAAGTGGTTAAGTTCGCATACTCCACTGCGACGGCCCAGCGTTTGGATCCTGGGCGTGGGCATGGCACCGCTCATCAGGCCACGTTGAGGCAGCATCCCACATCCCACAACTAGAAGGACCTGCAACTAAGATATACAACTATGTACAGGGGGGTTTGGGGAGATAAAGCAGGAAAAAAAAATAGAATTACCACAGGATCTAGAAGTCCCACTTCTGGGTATAAATCCAGAAGAATTGAAGTGAGGGTCTCAATAGGGGTCTTGCTCTTGTGTTCACTGCAGCATCATTCACGACAGCCAGGATGCAGAAACAGCTCAAATGTCCATCGGCCGAGGAATGGACACAGAAAACATCACCTGTACTCACAGCAGGAATATCACCAGCTTTCAATAGCAAGGAAATCCTGCCACGTGTGACAATGCAGAGGCACCTCGAGGACGTGGTGCTGAGTGAAATAAGACAGTCACAGGAGGACAACAATCTAGGGTTCTACTCCTCTGAGGGACTTCAGGTTGTCACTGTCACAGAAGCAGAGGGTGGAATGATGGCAGCCAGGGGCTGGGGAGGGTGGGGTCGTCCAGCAGGCACAAAGTCTCAGTCACATGGGACGAGTGTGTTCTAGAGACCCCCCGTACGCCATGCTGCCCGAAGGTCACACACTGTGTTGTGCACTGAAAACTTATCAGGAGGAGCTTGTGTGTTCTTATCAACAGTATTACATATGTGTAATTTGAATACCAGGGGAAAAAAAGAAGACAGAATTAATATTTGAAGAAATAATTGCTGAGAATTTTCCAAAATTAGTGATAGACACCACAGCACTGATCCAAGAAGCTCAAAAGATACCAACTAGGATAAACATCCAAGCGTGCACACACACACACACACACACACACACACAAACACACGCACGCACACCCCTGGGCAAATCATATTCAAAATGCTGAAAATCTTGAAGGCAGCCAGACTATAAGAACCAGGTTGCTACAGAGCAACAAGGATAAGAATTACAGTAGATTTCTCATCAGAAACCATGTGAGTAAGATAAGGGAGTGACGTCTCTAAAGGGTTAAAATAACAGTCAACCCAGAATTCTATATCAAGTAAAAATATCTTTCAAAACTAATGGAGAAATAAAGACTTTCCTAAACCAATAGAAACAGAGGGAATTTGTTTCTAGCTGACTTGCCTTATGAGAAATGTTTAAGGAAGTGCTTCAGGCAGAAGAAATGTGATAGAGTCAGAAATTTGAACCTAGAAACAAAAGGAAGAGAGTCAGAAATGGAAGAAATGAAGGTAAAATATACTTTCCTTACTTTTAACTGTTCTGCAAGATAACTGACTGTTTTAAACAATGATAGTAACAATGAATTGGATGATTATAGCATATGGAAATGTGGAATGTCTGACAACCATGGGGACAGGTACAGGAGGGAGGAATTGGGAACATAAGGTCCTTACCTTATACAGGAAGCAGTAGAGGATTATTTGTTGGTGAACGCAGATTATTTCAAAGTATATTTTAAATCCTAGGGCAACCACTAAGATTAATAAAGGAAACCTCAACTAAAGTTGGAGTCATGAAGGCCTGTAGAGGGAGCCCTCATGCCCTACTACCTATCATCAATTATCCCAACAGCAGGATGTCAGTTACTGACCCCAACAGGAGGATGTCAGTTACTGACCCCAACAGGAGGAGGTCAGTTATTGACCCCAACAGGAGGATGTCAGTTTTTGACCCCAACAGGAAGATATGAGTTACTGACTCCAAAAGGAAGAGGTCACTTACTGACCCTAACAGGAAGAGGTCCCCAATAGGAAGAGACCTACCTTGCACTCCCCAACAGGAAGTGCAACTACTTTGCTGCTCCAGCAGGAGGAAGGATGACTTCCTTCTTGCTCAGCAACAAGCTCAGCCAATGAGAAGCCATCATCACCTGAGCATTTACTTTCCCTCAATGAACTTTCATCTCTTCCTTGCTGATGACTTCCTTTCCTTGTCTCACCCTCCGTACTATAAAAACCTTTCAGGTGGTGTAACCCCTCAGAACATCTCTCGGCTTGCCAGATGAGATGCTGCCCAATTCAAGAATCAGTTAACAGAACCAATTAAATCTTCAAATTTACTCAGTTGAATTTTGTTTCTTAACATCTTACATATGAAGCAGTATCATATTTGTTGGTGGACTCAGATTATTTTAACGTATATCGTGAGCTCTAGGGCAACTACCCAAAAAGGTTTTTTAAAAAAGATTTAATAGTAAGACAATAGAAGAGATAAAATGGAATAATAAAAAATGCTGAATTAACCTGAAGAAGGCAGAAAAAGAAGGAAAATAAAAAAAGAACAAATGTGGCAAATATAAAACGGCTAGCAAGATAACAGTTCTAAACACATCAGTTAAAGACAGATTGTCAGAATGGAAGAAGCAGCGATACACAACTATATGCTGTCTGTAAGGAGCCTGCGTGTACCCTTCTTGTCCCATAAGAGGCTCCATATTTTCCTCCACCTGTCCCACAGGGGACACATACAGCAGTGGGGGTGGCCAGGTGCCATATGACACACCTGCTTTAATAGAACAAGGAGCATTGGCTGCGTCTGAAACAGGGAAAGACAAGGTGACAAGTCCAGCACAGGCTGTGTGGCCCCTCATCTCTCAGGGAGGAAGTGCTCCAGGCCCATGGCCCACCCTCACGTGCCCGAGGAGGAGTCTGAAGTCATCCTCTCCCAACAGCATGTCCTCAGACCATAGCGGAATTAGACTTGAAATCAATAACGTGAAGATACCCGACCTAGCTGGAAATCGAACAACCGACCTCTAAACAACCCGTGCATCCAAGAGGGAGTCTCAATGGGAAATGTAAAAATATTCTGAACTAAGGGAAAATGAAAATGCATCGTATCAGAATCTGTGGGACACACCTAGGGAGCGCTGCTGGGACCTTCACAGCACTGACGCACGTGTCAGCAGAGAAAGACTCTGATCGATACGTAAACTTCTCCCCCAGGAAAACCAGGGAAAGAAGAGCTTTTGATTAAAGCAAATGCAAGCAGGAGGAGGGAAATAATGACTCGAGTAGAAACCGACGGAGTTGAAGACAGAAAAGTAGACAATATCAATGAAGCCAAAGGCTGGTTCCATGAACAATCTGCACAGCTAGTGGACATGTCGCCAGACTGACTGAGAGAAACGGAGAGAAGACACCATGACCAGGCCCAGAAATGAAAGCACGCCGTTGACGCTGATCCACAGACAATAGAAGGAGAGTAAGGAGACACTATGAACAACTCTGTGCCCCTTAGAAATCAGATGATGCTGCTCAGTGTCAGTGTGTTGTTGTCTTTCTTTGAAGAGTGTTGACGTTTGTCTCGGCAGCAGGTAAATCTTGCAAACCATTTGGACTTTTTACAGCTTGTTTTCTCGTCCTTGATAGGGGACGTCTAGAGCTGCCTTCACCTCTGGGATAATCAGCCCTACTAAGGGAGGGTGACCCGGGCCTACCCTGGGTGCCCAGAACAGTCACCATGTCTCCACGCTTGCTGGTCAGTCTCAAATGGCTCTCAGTCCTGGTCGAGTCTGGCTCTTCAACTGACAACCTCACAGTCCTGCCCGGGTCCGCGTGTCTGTGGAGTCTCCCTCATGGCAGGCACGGTCTACGCTCAGGAAGGACTCTGTGGCCCACTGTGTGTCCCTGCGGGTTCCCTTTTCCTGAAGCTGCTGCTTCTCTGGGACTCCTCCTTGCCACCACCACCGCCTGATCCCCCTGAACTGAGTTCTCTCCCCAGAACTCGGGGCCATCGGGCCCTTTCGAGGTTCCCTCCGGCACCCACAGCTCTCTGGCTCCAGGAAGACAGCTGGGGTGACACAGGGCTGCGCTCCAGTCCCCCTGCACTGCCTGTGGCCATGACGGAGCTGTTTAGGGTGGGAGCTTTTGTCCCCTCATTGTTACTCCATTGTGACCAGAAGCAGAAGTCCAGTGGCTTCTTTTGAGGACCGAAAACCATGAGTCTTCACTCTCTCTAAATGGCTTTCTCCCTCAATCCCTTTCACCTTAAAAGTTTGCATTTCTAGATTCTACAGGGAGTTTGAAACATTACAAATCTACTCATCACGTCCACATGACGGTTTGTGAATTCTTTGAGCTTAAAATATTAAAATCCAGTCGATTTGATATTGAGGAAAATGGACAATTAGTCAAGACACTGTATAAGCCAGTAGATATTTGTCCTAAATCACAAAGACTGCTAACTGATTTCGAGGCAATATGCCAGTAGTGGCAAATGATAGCCTGGAATAGTGTTTTGTGTGTGTGTATAGAATGGAAATTCAATGAGTGTCTTAACGGTAACCTCTCCCATGTACAAGAGATTCACCATTTCGTATATTCTCTTAAAGGCGGGGAACAGATTCACGATACGTTTGTCTTCATGCTTTCCTCCCACCCCTTTCCCACTGAGAGGTCAGAGCAGTGACTGGAGAGACAACAGACTCATTCTCCCCCCGAAAACCTGTCAGGTACCCCGTTGGCCCAGGATCTGCACAGCTGCTTTAGGATGCTGAGAGGGATGTTTCCGA